AAGGGAGAATACCATTCTTTGAGCAAAGCGTCTAGTATACGACAACTCTTTTCTAAGTTATAACTTACACTTTTGTAATATTTCGGAGTTGAGAAAGAAAGTAATCGTGATTTTAAAACAGACATGACCCCAATGCTATTTGGTGCTTTTCATTTTTAAAATACTTTTATATAACCAAACGAAACATTTTGCCGACGATTTTGAAGCAGTTGTTCAACCCTCACTCCTTAAAAGTACATAGCAAAGACCAGTCAAAAAAAGGTGGCGCGACAATTTATATTTGTTTTTCATTTAAGTCACACCTTTCTTCGCCCTGTTTATGCCTCAACTGCAGACTAGAAGAAAAAACGTTTCCATTGCACCAACGATGGATGCTGAGTCCTTATTGAGGAGGTTACCACAGGAACAGAAGTCATGCAATTGCGATGATTGGTTTGGCATGGTAAACCCAGTGATCTCAATGAACCATCTGGTTTTAAGAGTTTTAAGAGATACTCCAAAACAGTAGGATACAGGAGAAAATGCACTTGTCTCTGTGAAAATTCAACAGAGATCTGCTACCATACCTTCTTAGCCCGCTAATTAGAACATCAACGGCAATAGTATATTTTTGCATCGTAATTAAAGTTTCCCCATCACACTGGTAATTCTTTTGGCATGTTCACATTGATGAATTTGCTGCCTGTTTAAGGGTGAAAATTTTGAAACATTCTGTGCAGTCCAGTGTGTTACTTATCCCTTATCTCTTGCTGCCATAGGTTTCAACAATGCGCTAGCGTGGTAAACCGGTGGCGCCATATTTGTGATCCAGACACGTACATTCAACATGCAGGCCAAGTATAAAAAGCGACACACACACACGAACGGGACAACTTCGGTTCGAGCACACACCGATTTACCGAAGAGCAGCCTATGCAACTAACGAACACTGCTAACTACCAGTGATACCTGTCGCACCATCCATCTTCGACGAAATCTCGTTGGCGGTAGACACGTCAGTGCATTGCGTTTTAAAAGTCTGATATCATTTCCTACATTTATATAGACATGCTAACATATAGCTACGTAAGCCTATGGTAGTACTCATACCAAGAGGATACTGGGCTGAGTTATGGAAGATAGAGAACATGAGAAAAGAGCAGTAGCCAAGGATGAACACGGCTATCGTGGCCATGAGAACGCGGAAGCTTCCAAGCTGAGAAGCAGCCACGAAGGAGCAGATGGCGATGAAGAGATAGACGATGAGTCGCGCCCTGTTGGGCTCCACTGAAACGGCCAGCATTGTGTCAAGTCCATCTATTGGCAGGTAGTAAACATTAAAGAAAGTTAAATCTACTATAGTCCTGCTTAAATAGTAATTGCTTAAATATTTTAAACAGCATGAATGAAAAGAGAAAGTTGAAAACTGACGTTTGAAATTATGCGAATTAAACTTCACAACACAAAGTAAGTAATGGTTATATTGGAATGGCTTCATATGCGTAAACCAATAATGAAGATAGCATTTTGATCAAAATTGGACTAAACAAGCCTAAATGGCCCCCGAATAATTGATAGGAATCTATGCTACAACCAGAGTTTCGAGTAACTATGTTTAACACTCCAGACAGATATAGAGTTAATATCGCAGATAATGCAAGGTTAAATTATATGCACATCCTGTCCTGTTTAATTTCCAACGAAATAGAATGCGTGAACTTCTTACTGAGAGCACAGAAGATGTACAAGACGGCTCATCTACTTTCAAATTAAAATAAGCATCTGGTAGAGTATCTCGACTGTCTCTTCAGTTAGCACATGACAGGATGTATATACTATACTACCTGCAATCAAGTTCTCTACTCCTAAAGACATGGTCAAAAATGAATCACTTGTGACAGGGTTCAAACGTGAGTCTAAATTGAGGATAAATTTATTTGTAATAGAGCACATAAATTTACAAAAGGTATTCTCTCGGTATAAGGTATTTTTATTTTCATACTCATTGTGATAACGAGGTAGTTTGTCACGTCAGCCGCCATGAAGATGGCAACCATAGTGATGTGAGCAGCCTTGCCGAACCGGCTTCTCACAATCTGGGGATAGGTTTTTGCTCCGGGGGCTTTGATGCGCATTTCAAGAAGGATGAACGCGAAGATCGCGGCGGAGACGGAGATGTAGAGGGAAAAGACGACTGGTCCAGTGATGCCGTACTGTAGGAAGAGAAAAAATTCGCCTTAATGATGACTCCAAAAGCACGTTTCCTTCACAGTTTTCGAGGGGATTGAGAAAAAAATCTTCTGCATTCCTTCTATGTGTCAAAGAACTCACTAGTCCACTGGCAGGTCTGGACGATGCCTGAGAACTGAAAATAGGAATAAAGAGTTCAGTCGATAGCTCAACAAATTTATTGTACTTTGCACAATCTGCGCGCTATCACGGTGCGCTAAAGCCTTGGTTGCGGTGGCTGCTATCGGAAGGATAAGTGAGCCCACGTGGTCAGCTGAATGTGTGCTTGTGCAAAGCGGCTGACTGGCGAACGAGAAGTTTGGTTTCAGAGGCCCTTTCTTAATTTGTCTCACGCTATAGGATACGAGCCAAGTGTAGCGCCACGCTTCTGAGCAACGCCGGCCGCCCAAGCCAGCAGCGTCCTCCTCTGTATT